TTAAAAGAGGTCATCTATAAGAAGTAAATGAAAATAAAGTTTTAGCGTGATGTCTATCAATTTACCAAACGCAAATTGGGTCATAAACCGCTAAAGTAAAGACGAAGAAATGAGGTGAAGCATTGCAATTCTGGAAGATACAGGTGTGAGCTCCATCACGATTCAATATCATGTCCCCACGTCTATAGATGAAAAAAATAATTGAACACAGATTGCTGTTACCGTATATGTTGCAAATGAGAAAGCAGAACATGAAGTTGAGTATAAGATGTTTATCACCTCGAGGCCTTACTAAATGCTGGCAGAAATCCACCATAGAAAATTATTAATCAGGTGAAGCATGTGCCGGATACGTAATGCGCCAACTAAAGCATTTAAGCGGATAACCTCCAAGGTCCTAAAAAGCCTTATTTTGCCTCAGACCTCTCCTGCAGGTGCCTGGTCCTTTCGGCCTAATTCTCAGAATTTAGACACGCCACTTTGTTTGATCCTAACTGATCAAAACAGAGATTCTCAAGGGTAACACAAAAATTTGAAGCGTTCTGATACTCTTTTTTTCCTTATACTAATGCCGTTGATTAAAAACTACTTTCTCTCAAACTTATAAGTGGAAAGAAGTATGGAGAAATTTTTTCTTCAATCGACGGTAGAATCAATATAAAGGTAATGTGAAACATTTGCTAGAAGCAGAAAGCGTCCGTGACGCGCACGAGATTTAACACTGCTCCTTCCAATAGTTTCTCGTTCATCCGCAAAATGAGGGTGTTTCCAGGATCTCTCTTATTGGCGGTGCTTTTGTTTGTATGTGAAATTGCCTTTATGGTTGAAGGTAAGAGGAACTACTCTAAAAATTATTAGCTTCTCCAATCATTTTCTGGCGAGATTAGGGATAGAGGGATTGGATCGAAAGTAAAGATTGGAATGCAAGCGCTAAAAATTAGATGGGATACCTTTGCATTTGCAAGGAGATTTTTTCTAGTTTCACTTTAAATTCTATCGTTTCATTTATTGTTTAGGACAAACTCTGGTCCAAGATGGAAAGATCAACTTCACTGCATCATTTCCTGACTTGCTTTATTGCACGAACGTGCAGTTCCCTCGTGCATTCTCCAGCTCGAGAAATGTACGGGTGATAACTTCCATCAGCTGTGAGTCCAACACTCGGCTGTTGTATGGACGTCAGACGTGACACAGAGCAGTTTCCGCGTATGTGTACTGGAGTCGGGACCTGGTACAAACGGATCCGCCGTCGTGAACTGGATTGCATTTCGAAGCGCTCCTTCTGGAATGTTGGACGGCACCGCCTCCTTGAGTGCATTTACCAGTGGAACAAAATGTGAAAGAGTTACCTTTGCTCAGGTAGTTTCCCAGAAAAGAACATTATTTCTTAAAATAAAGAAGGGATTCGCAGAAAATGTGTGAAACATAGGTGTATTAAATTGTTTTAAAGAGGAGGGNTTCTAATCCAGGACTAAAATGCCAATTCTTGACTACGAAACAGAAAAAAGGTATACCAGATTTTACCCAGTCAGAGCTATTTTTTTTTATGTAATTATTTTAAGCAAGAACTTTCATGTTACTCTAACTTATAATTTTCGCAGCTTAGTTATATTTTGATCATCTCGTTTTGTTTTCATGCAAGTTTCTTCTTTGTTGTATGGCACACAGTGTCTTTATGTAGAACATCCGTCTCAAAGGAGGTAACCGAAAGGCCAAATTGCTACCCAAAAAGCCTTTAATAAAGTTTTATAGTTTCAGAAGCATCCAAAAAATTCTAACGAAGCACAACACTTGTTATTCACATCGAGCAATCCTTCATTTACTCATACAGTGGGCAAAGCGCGCGACAGAAAATATCATACAATTAACTAAGTATATGAGCGTAGTCAAGTTTTTCTGGCACTTAAGGACAGTGTGATAGGTCTTCGCAGATAAATCTTGGAAAATGATCAGACAGTTAAGAAATCCTTTGCATTACTAATTATAAGCTGAAT